ATATGAGCGTGATTTCTAGTCACATCTGACTCTTGTAAAGTACTTAAGTATTCTGGAACTAGACCAGCCATTGTTAACAGGGGCGATTGTTTCTCTGAGGGAGTCGATAAGTTTCCCCAAGCAAGTTCTTTTCTTTCATAGTAAGTGGAAACATTCGTTAATAAGAATTACGAGTTTACGTTTTAATAAACTTTTCTAAATTTATGCTTTCCCATCTTTTTAGGAAATTAAGTTTTTATCGATTTAAGGACAAAAAATATTTTTAATGACAGCGTCCAGCAGAAATACTTTTTTTTTTCGTAAAACTGTTACACATCTCTAAATGTTTCAACTGAACTAATGATTTTTAGACATTTCGTTTAGTATCTGATAGCAAGAATCGTCTGCTATCATTCATTACGATTTGCTCTGCAGTGTTTGAACCGCCAACTCAGCACCAGAATAACATGGCGCCGGGAGAGCTCGCAGCCAGGACAATATTAATTTTTAATTTTGAAATTTGTATTTTGGAGATTTTGACATGATTACGTTAATAAATTATTTTAATTTTGATAAAAAAAACAAGCAAAATTATGATGTGTTTGTTTTACTATTTCAATTCATATAAATTTTAAAATTTAAAGAGCAAGCGTTGGCAATAGGGATTGGCTAGCTGCCATAGTAGACGTGTATCCTCAAATACGATTGGTCAGCTATTTGTGTGTGTGTGCGTGTGTGTAAATTATTTACAGATATAGTGTATCTGTTGGCGATTGTTTCTCTGAGGATATGGGCTATAAGTTCTTTTCTTTCATCGTAAATGGAAACATTCGTAAATAAGAATAACGAGTTTATATTTTAATAAACGTTTGTAAATTTATGCTTTCAACCGAACGAATTATTTTCAAACATTTCAGTATTCTGATAGCAAAAATCTTGAATAAAGAAAGAAATAAAATTGATATATATACTCGAGGAGACATACGACTTTAAAATTTCAAACCAAATATTAAATTTCTACCAGCAAAGCATGATCACATTAAAAAGTAATGTAAGTAACATATTTTAATTTATAGTTTTACAAATGCGCATGTTATGTTTTTACTCCATTGAATGAAGATAACACAATGATGAAAGGTCGCTTGGAGTCGACGTAGTCTTGTCGAATTCTGTAGTAAGGATATAAGGCTCGCTTCCGGCTAGCGGTATTTGCTAACATCTCCACAAGGTAGATCGTGGCACAAGGCCGATTTTTATGTGGGGCAAATTCGATCCTGTAGACTCATGCAAAATTTCCCCGTTGACCATACACGGGGGTCGGGTTTGTTTACTTCCCCAGACGAGACACTTCCTTTCGGTATAGCCTCGTCTGGGTTCCTCTCTGCTTGAAAACAGAGACTGCAACAAGTTCTGAAGCAAGCTCTGTTGACGATTCACGTCGTCAGTATATATGATATTTAGACAAGTCCAAGTCATATTCTGGGAAGTCGACGTAGCCTTACCGAATTCTGTAGTAAGGATATAAGGCTCGCTTCCGGCTAGCGGTATTTACCAATCTCCCCAGAAGGCAGATCGTGGCACAAGGCCGATTTTTATGTGAGGCAAATCCGAGCCTGTAAGCTCGGGGAAAAATCCCCTTAAACCCCGCATACAGAGTGTCAGGTTTGTCTACCTCCCCAGACGAGACTCCGCTCTTCGGCATAGCTGCGTCTTTGGGAAACAGGTGTATCCAAACATGTGGTCTGAAATGGCTAAAATACTGCTATGCTTCCCATTGGTTCAATTCAAGAAGAGATCGGGTCAGTATTATTAGAATTCTTACCTTCAATGTCATTGAGAATGTAATATCGTCTTTTAACGATAGGAACGAAATAAAAAAAAACACTCACGGTATAACAAAGGATAAAATTATATCCAGAAGAATATAATCAATTTGAATTTGCTTTCTAAAAGTAATCTAGGTCTACCGAAAATTGTCTGCTAGAGAACTTTTAACGTCAGCTATGTGGCTTTGTTTAAAGCAATATAAAAAGCGAGAAATCGAACTCTCTCTCATTCGTCTTTTGCCCTTCAACCAATGGATGCCGTTGGGACAGGACGTATCTTGTTTCCCTTCTTTTGTCCCAGACAAATCACATGGTTGCTCTCTCCTTTTTTAGCATCTCGGCTTCAGTCACATGCCCACCTCCATAACATATCTTCCCTCTGGCTTTTCTATATATATTTTCATGGTAATTGTTCCAATGAACTTTCCTCTAAATTGTACATATGAGAACGAGTTAAGACTTCATAGAGACTCTGAGGTATGATGGTGGCTGTAGCAAGAATGCTAAGTATTATTTACCTCGTCTCCACACTGAGACGTGATATGACACAATATCGGGTTTAACATGAGGAGCCCGAGCGTGTACACCCGGGCCAAGGACACAAATTACCCAGCCACCGAAACCGTTTGGTTGCGCTGACCTAGGTAGCTGCTACTACCGACACTCTAGTGCAATTAGGACGGTTCAGCCCCGAGCAGCTCTTCTCCAGGGCCAGGCATTTATTTTCCTCAAATTCATCTCTATAGGCGGCCATAGGCAATACCGAGACAGACTGAAGCCCACCCTTCCCTTACTCGCAATTTTGGCCTTGTGTCACATCTTTGTACTCTTAAAATAAATATTAATTTCCGCTATGGTACCTAGACGTTACAAATTTCAGCGCAGTACTAGATTGGCAGAAAGGTTCAATAATTTTACAGTTGAAATTACTAGATGTAACGGCATAAAATCGGTGAGGCTTCTCTTGCGAATAAGAGAGTTTCCCAATTTTCACCAAGGCTCAATGTTTAAACAAATTTATTCATTCAAATCTGTAAATATTTTCATGATAATTTTGCTGATGAGCTTTTCTTCTTTCGTACGTAGACTTTATGAATTTAAGCATTCTACTAGATTAACGGAAAGGTCTCGCCATTTTCCAGTCGAAATGGCTTGGTGCAACCGTTCTATGCTAACAATATTTCGCTTGTGGAACTCTATTCCGGCATTTTGCATTCCAGGCAACATGATCTTCCAATTCATTCAAATGCAATATCAATCTTTATCCTCTGTCATCACAATCCCTGTTCTTTTATTGTCCTCTCTCCTTCATAATGCCCCCCCCCCTCTCTCTCTCTCATATTCTCTTACCCTCCGTAACTCCTTGCATCTTAGTGGATTCATTGCCTTGCTTGGGGTCAACTTACTAAATATCAGAACATAAATTTTCCTTTCTAGTTTGATTTGTTTTGTTTTACGAAATATCAATATCTCAATGGGTTATTTAATGCCGACAATTTTTAGGATAGGTTCGTATGAATAGAATATGTATTCTTTGGAAGAAATCAGTTTATAGATCAGGGTTTGTGTTTATTTTGTTTTACGACATATCAACCTCAATGGGTTATTTAATGCCGACAGTATTTTTAGGATAGGTTCGTATGAATAGAATATGTTTTCTTCGTAAGAAAACAGTTTGTAGATCAGGTTTCATTGATCTATTTTTGTAAAGGATGTTTTTGTCGACATTAATACGTATTGCTGGTAATATCTCCCTTTCATTTTCTTTCTTTCTCAATATGTGTGTGTGATTCTGTTATGAGGGCGTACAATCGGCAAGCCTACTCTTGTCAATGAAAGACTTTCCCAATTTGCAACAAGGCCAGATGTTTAAACAAATTTATTCATTCAAATCTATAAATAATTTCATGATAATTTTGCTGATAAGCATTCTCCTTTCGTACGTAGAGTTTATGAATTTAAGCGTCTCACTAGATTAGCTGAAAATTTTCTCCATTTTTCCAGTCGATATGGCTAGATGTAACCGTAAGTTCTATGCTAACAGTTCCTTCTCTCGAACTTCTTGTTTGTGAAACTCTCTTCCGGAATCTTGCTTTCCGGGCATTAAAAATTGGAATGTCATTCGTTATGTTCTTACAGTTTTTTTATTGTTCTCTCTTCGTAATGTTTTTCTTTTTCTCATATTCTTTCACACTGAGTAAACCTTTGCATCATAGTGACTTTATTGCCTTACATGGGGTGAGTGTTAATAACAGATGTAGCTGCATATTTACCCATTAAGGATAATAAGTATATATTATTTTTTTGTTTTAAGATTTGTTTGACTTTGTATCGCATGACACACTAAAAACCTTGTTTGGCATCATTAATGAATGTTTTATTTGCTCTTTTAAGTTTCTTCATACAGTCGAAAATACAGAAATATATGTCTAAAATCAGCTGACCAGACTATATTTACATAAGGCTATTTTAGGGCTAATTTTGGTCATTCGGCATTATCTGTGATCCGGCATTGGCCTAGTTTCATGGTGAACTGTTTAAAAAGTTCGAACTGTACACCCGAATACACCCTAAGTATTCGCAGTGTCAGAAAACGTGTATTTTAATTTTTAACAATTTCATAAAATACACTCGTTTTTTTGTTTTGTTTTGTTTTGTTTTTGTAAATTCTATCTGGGAATTCGTGTGAGGGAAATGAAAAATGGCGTTGATTTAAAAAAGGCACAAAAAGATACAATGGACAAAAATAAGGAAATAAAATAAAACAGATTTGAATAAACAACTCAATTTTCTTTTTATCTTTGGACAAGAAGACGAGATCAAAATGTCTTCGGTTCAAAGAAAGAAAGTGAGAAAATCATATAAAAAAAAAAAAACGTATTGAAGGCAGCTGCAATGTGATTAAATCTTTAAAAGTGAAATGGTTCCTGTTGCTGCCAATGTAAGATAAAAAAAAAGACCAGTCTCAGAACTTCAGGTAAAAAGAAAATAATTCTAAAAATAAATAATAAATAAAATTCGAACATCGAGTTTAAAACGAATGAGATGACTGTCAATTTGATAATTGAACATTAACATGAGGTTTGGGATTTTAAAAAAACAAAGCAAAAAATTAGCGAATTCAAAATGCCGGTTTCAAAATAAGTTACGCTAAAGTAGATTTCAACTATTGTTCATATTTAAGTGCTACAGAAAATGTATTCATTCTTTCTTTCTTTTATTTTTTTACCGTCTTATTCATTATTGCCTCATTCTTTTCTTTTAGTTGTCGTTTTCTTGGTGCCTGCTTTAATCTTGTCTTTCTTTAGTCATTTCCTTCTTTCTTTCTTTTTATTTTTCTTCCATCTTCTTCCTTATTGCCTCATTCATTGCTTTTTCCTCCTTTTCTTTAGGACTTGCTTTCACCCTGTCTTTCTTTAGTCATTTCGTTCTTTCTTTCTTTTTATTTTTCTTCCGTCTTCTTCCTTATTGCCTCATTCATTGCTTTTCCCTCCTTTTCTTTAGGACTTGCTTTCATACTCTCTTTCTTTAGTCATCTCCTTCTTTCTTTTTATTTTTCTTCCGTCTTCCTTATTGCCTCATTCATGGCTTTTTCCTCCTTTTCTTTAGGACTTGCTTTCATACTCTCTTTCTTTAGTCATCTCCTTCTTTCTTTCTTTCTTTCTTTCTTTTTATTTTTCTTCCGTCTTCTTCCTTATTGCCTCATTGATTGCTTTTCCCTCCTTTTCTTTAGGACTTGCTTTCATACTCTCTTTCTTTAGTCATCTCCTTCTTTCTTTCTTTCTTTCTTTCTTTTTATTTTTCTTCCGTCTTCTTCCTTATTGCTTCATTCATTGCTTTTTCCTCCTTTTCTTTAGGACTTGCTTTCACCCTGTCTTTCTTTAGCGATTTCCTTCTTTCTTTCTTTCTTTTTATTTTTCTTCCGTCTTCTTCCTTATTGCCTCATTCATTGCTTTTCCCTCCTTTTCTTTAGGACTTGCTTTCACCCTCTCTTTCTGTAGTCATTTCCTTCCTTCCTTCTTTCTTTCTATTTTTTCTCTTCTTATTCATTGTTGCCTCATTTTTCCCTTTTTTTCTCCTTTTTTCAGTGCTTGCTTTCTGTCTGTCTTTCTTTAGTCATTTCTTTCCTTCTTTCTTACTTTTATTTGTTTAACTCCCCTTAGATCCATCTATATCTCTCTATTTCACTATATCTTTCCTTCATGCTATCTCTCTCTCTCTCTCTTTATTAGTGTCTCTCTCTGATATTGTATCTCTCTATATCTCTACGCGGCTCTCTCTCTTTGTATTTCTCCTTGATGCTGCCCATCTGTGTATCTCCCCGTCTCTCTCTGTGAGTTTCTCTATCTCTCACCTTAGGTCTGTGTCTCTTTCTACCTCTCTATATTTGTCTTTGACTCTCTCTGTCTTCCGTGGTTGCTGTCTCTGTTTATCTCTCCCTCTATTTGTATCTTGGCGTAGTTTTCTCAGTGTCTATCCTTTGAACTTGTCTCTCTATTTCTCCATGACATTTTTGGGATTTTACATTACGCACTTCTACATGACGATCGCTATCTCTCTGCTTCCGTCTGTCTTTCTCTTTAACTGTCTCTATCTCTTCATACTCTTCGTGTATCTCCTCCTTGATATATATATATATATATATATATATATATATATATATATAGTTCTGCACACAACCTTCACCACTATAATCAAATCTCATTTGATGATGTCAAGCTATATATATATATATATATATATATATATATATATATATATATATATATCCGTATCTCTCCTTGAAGGCTCTCTCTCTCTCTCTCTCTCTCTCTCTCTATTTCTCTGTATCTCTCAGTGATTTGTTTTTTTCCCTGCTTCCCTCCCTGTATCTATTTATGTCTTTACTATGTCTCTCTCTATGTATCTGTATATCTCCATCACCAACACATTGTAAAGTATTGTATACCACACACATGGTCTGAAGATTGCGCACACGCATGAAACTGTGTCGCCCCATTTTATATTTTCACACGATCTATCCCTGGTACTGAGCACTTTTACTTATAAACATAGCATACTGTAAAAATATTTTAATGACTAAAAATAATGGAAGAATTAATAATAAAAAGAAACGACATCACTCAATAATATCAACTATGAACACGGCCACAACGTGCTGACCGTGTCTGGAAAATAAAAAATACATTCCCATCACTATAGATACACATATATAAAAATCTAAAAATCTAAAGATCAGTTGAAACAGAATTCGAAGTCTTGAGTACTTGTTTACATATTAGGAAATTCCTGTAAAAGAAAAAGTAGAAAAACCTCCTGATTTTTAAAGTTAAAAGCTCTACATGTTATTTTTGCTTTCATTTTATTTTTTCACACGTGTATTGGTCACTTTTTAATATTACTGCTTTCTGGACGGATTCATTAACCTTTTATGTATTATATATAAAAATCAAGATATCCTGTTAAATATAAAATAACATCCTTGAACATGGTTAGTAGAATAGCCGAAAGCGCTCGGATATATAGAACATTCGGACAGTTTTTACACAGTTTGTGTAAATAAAAGAATGCTGACAATTAGAGAAATATATATATATATATATATATATATATATATATATATATATATATATATATATTAAAGAAACAACATATATATATGTATATTTAATGTTATATATATATATATATATATATATATATATATATATATACAATAAAATCCCAAACCATCTCATATGGGGAATAATCTATTTCGACAGACGAAAATATTGGTCATCAGTAGGGACTGAGGATTAGCTGAGGATTATATATCAACGGATTTGTTACCTTTACTATATATATATATATATATATATATATATATATATATATATATATATATATATATATATTTATATTTATATACACACACTTTTCATATATATATATATATATATATATATATATATATAATAAAAGGTAATATATATAGTAAAGTATATATATATATATTTATATATAGTAAAAGGTAATATAAAGTAAAGTATATATAAATATAGTAAAAGCATATATATATATATAGTAATGGTAATATATAGTAATATATATATATATATATATATATATATATATATATATAAAGGTAATTATTGTAAAGTATATATATATATAGTAAAAGGCAATATATTGTATGTATATATATATATATATATATATATATATATATATATATATATATATATATATGTGTGTGTGTGTATATAATATATCGCACATAGACTGCTGGTGTTAATTAAACAGTGCTTAATGTAATATAACAACTATTAAGTATATATTAATATATGTACATAACCCTCAACAGTAGCACGACTCGAACATTCATACACAACGCAATCTTCAGGTGCTGGGTAGATAATCACATTTACATAATTTAAATTTTAAACAAAATACCTTGTTGATGCAATGCTGACGCAATTCGTATACTATACCGCGGTTACAATTGTTTTATTTTAAAAATATATATTGCATTTAAAATAGAAGGGATTTTTATTTTATATGTATAAATTAAACGGGGATATATTTTTAATTTTATTTTTAAATAAACATTTGTTCATTATATTTATTACAAACAAAAACTATATTAAAATGAATGAACCTAAAAATATATGCAAAAAATATTAATTTTTATTTAAATATCGGAATATTATTTTTTTATTAAACATAAAGTGAGATTACTAGGGTTTTAAAAAAATTATAAAATGTTTGTTTAAAATTATTAAATATATATATATATATATATATATATATATATATATATGTATGAAGAAATTATAGTCTTAACATGTGCTATATTTATGGAATAAAGTGCTCAATATCAGAGATAGAGCGTGTGGAAATATAAAAGTGAACATAGAAGTCAACACTTAGAGTTTTCATACTTAGAGGCGACAGTCTGTTTCATGCTAGACTCAGTGAAACAGCCTGTCACCTCTAAATTATATATATATATATATATATATATATATATATATATATATATATATCAGAGATAGAGCGTGTGTAAATATAAAAGTGAACATAGAAGTCAACATTTAGATGCAATCGTTAGCCCACGAGTGCTCGTTGCTTGTCGATTGCATCTAGCATGAAACAGACTGTCGCCTTTAAGAGCTGACTTCAAGGTTCACTTTTATATATATATATATATATATATATATATATATATATATATATAAAACAAAGATTTTATAATTATATATCGTCTTTTTCATGTTTAATTGAATATGGTCTAATGTTAATTATGTTTTATGATTATGTCCTGAAGATGGTCTATTAGACATTATATTAACATTAAAACAGCATAATTGCATCTTGGGATTTTGTTTGTTTTTCTGTATATTTTTTCTTCATATATATATATATAAATAACAAAAGATTTTATAATTATATATATATATATATATATATATATATATAACAAAAGATTTTATAGTATATATATATATATATATATATATATATATATATATATATATATATAATTTATATATAAGTAATTTCCTTCTTATATATATAACAAAAGATTTTATATATATATATAAATAACGAAGATTTTATAATTATATATAACAAAAGATTTTATAATTATACATATATATATATATATATATATATATATATATATATATATATATATATATATGCAAACTTGTTTTGCCGGGGTTGAAGTTTTGAAGAATGTCAACAGATCACGATTTATTTTCGTTTTTGTTCAAGTATTTTCGTCTGTATCAGTGTTGCGAAGAAGGTAAACAAGATTTTGTTGACTAATTCCTGACATTCGTAGATCTCTGGTATTGAAATAAACACACACTAGCGACATATAACATTTACACGGAAAAGTATAAACGGAAAATATGTATACGTGTTGTTCGCGGGAGTAACAGCAAAATTGTCCAAGTCGTGTCACAACAAAAATTGTCCAATTATTAGATTAAGTTTTGAGCCGTTGTATCTTAGAAATGATTAAAGATAACTTACTTGAATTTTACAAGATGGAGTATTGCTGCCATATATGGTCTGGGGCCCCTTCTGTTTGCCTCGGTGTTCTTGGTAAGCTCCAGATGCGGATATGCTATATAATTGGCCCTGATCTGTCATCTCGTCTACAGTCGCTCTCTCACAGAAGCGCCGTCGCCCCTCTCTGTCTGTTT